CGAACTGGTAGGAGACCAGAGGTAACCGTACCCGACCTGACAGAAGCTTAGGAGTGAGTGCACGAGGTGGCTATAAAAGGCCCCCTACCCCCAAGAACAAGGTATGCAAACTTTGCGCTATCTGGTTTTATCTTGCCTTTGAAGGATTCTAACTTGAGCTTCGGAGCCTCCACACTGGGTTCCCCCGGAGCTTCCTCATCTTCTCCGTTTCAGGTTCCCCGCAACTCCGTTCAGAGGCAAGGTCGTTGACAGTTAAGACCGGCCAGATTGCGCACCATCATAAACCAAATACAGTCACATGATAGGTTAATGTCAGCAGATTTTCTCCACAAAAGGAAAATTTACGCGAACCACTAATTTGATTTACCCACAAAAAGTTACTCGATATCACTTGATGACAACCAAGGGCTCACTCTCACCATCCCACCTGGGTTAAGTAAAAAAAATCAAGACCAAACCCAAAATCGTCATGTCCCTATTCGCAAAAGACAAATCAAAACTGTAGAATCCTGAATCTATATAGCTAAAACTTATTTTGCTCAATCATCTAAGCTCCTTGGGTAGAAGCCCTAGCGTAGAAACCGTGGAAAGACAATGGTAGAGTACCTGAATCGTGAGCTCTTACACCCTAAGCCCCTTTCAAGGATCAGGACCACGAGAAGATTCAATCTTCGAAATGCAGTTATGTGATCGAAAGTCTCAGATCCCGACCGCCAACAATATCCATGAAATCGATTTCAAAAAGTAGGATAACATGATGAGCAATGAAAGCTATGAGAATGAAGAAAGAAACAAGAGAGACAAATAAAAAATAGATAGAAGAAATAAAGGATAGAAGCGCATTTAAAGCTACAGCAATTGCATAGAAACACATAAAGAAAGAAACGAATGATGAACATCATATATGCATGAAACGAAAACGAGGGAAGGAAGGAAAGCACAAAACCTGATAATACTTACAACAACTACAACAAAGATCTAGAGATCTCCTTGAGTGCATTTTGTATTGTATGATGGGCCGAAAGCTTTTTTTCGTAGTACTTCCATAATATCAAAATAAAAGCTTCCACGCCTTGCAAACATCATTGATAAACAAACGCACATTAAAACCTTATAGCAATGGAGAGAGAGCGAGAGAGACAAAGAAGCGAGAAAAGACAGAGAAAATGATTAAGGGAGAGTATGGGGGGAGAGACGGGTGGAGGTGGAAGATAGAGTAGGAGAGTGGGAGGAAGAGAAGGTAAGTGTTAAAGGGAAAGCATCCATTTTGCTTTAATACAATATATATAATTTTTAAAAATATAAAATAGCTTTTAATTATCTTTTAAATTAAACAAAAAACTTTTTTTTTTCAATTTGACACAATGTTTTAAAACTATCATTTAACTTTTTGGCCTGAAAACTGGTCAGGTTCCTGATTATATTTCAACCCAAACGGATGAACCGCCAACCCTGTTCAACTAGAGTAATGGTTTTTAGGCCATTTTTTATTTTCATTAGTTTTTGTTTTTTAAAGTGTCATGATTTGACAGTTTCGGTTCTAGGGCAGTTTCTAATTGATTTGACCATTTGGTCTGGACCGAGTCCAATGACATACAAGTTCAGTGTTCAATTAATTGATTACCCACTCCATATATCTATTTGTATGCTTCGAAGTTGGAAGAATTCATCCTGATAGGATTTACCGCGTATGTAGTCAAATAGTCACTTGGCACCGGTGCTTTTTACAAGTGTTTTGTTTCTGTGGATGTGTCATGTGTGCCATATCAATAAATAAATAAATAAATGGAATTGGCAGGAAAATCACATTTGGTAATCCTATTTCTTAAAAAAAATGTTTTTGTAATGATTAGTTTTGTAATTCAGGAAAAAGAAGGGATTTTTGAAACATCAAATTAACGTTTTTTAAATTATCTTGGTGATCCTGAATCGCCCTAATAACATGACACATTGAAATTTGAAAAAGCTAATTACTTCTATGAGATGTCACACAGTTATCATTATAAATATATTATAATATTAAGTTAAATCATTTTATATGCCCAATCTGCTTCCATCCCGATTTTTTTTTTGTATTTTTCAAAAAAAAAAAACAGATGAAATAAAACGCTTGCGAAACACACCAGTAACAAACACCAACTTGGTAAGTCAAAAGTTAGAAGTTCAAAATATCCCCACCCCAAAATTTATTTGAGAATATACTGTTCCTATTTGCCATATGTTCCACAACAATCTCATATTTGTCTCTTTAGGGGAAAATTTGCTTTTCTAATAGAAAATGCAAGAAGGAAAGGTGCCGGTAGAATATGGGTTAAGTGGCAACTCACGATTTGGGCTTATTTGATTTGAGAGGAATCAGAATCAAATTCTCATTTCTGATAAAATGACATTCTCCCATTTGAAAAAATGACAATTCCCTTCACCTAACTTGGAATTTGGAAATAAGAATTCCACTCCAACCTAACCAATCAGGTGGGGGAATAGACTAATCCAATTCCGAATCCAACTGCAAACCAAACGGACCCATTGATGCTTCCCATCTATCTGATGAGAAATGTCTACAGACTATAAAAGAAAAATATTAGCAGTTCGTGCAAGTAACAGTTGCCCAGCTGGTTTCACTTCCAGTAATGCAGCTAAGTCCAGAGCAGCACTAGAAATGCACAAAACAGAAATATGGAGATGGGCAATTCTAGATGGATGGAGGAAGACTCAGACCACAATAGAATACCTAATGGGCCATGAAACCCCTCCAGGAGATGCAAATGGATCATTATAGAATGCCTGAAGTTTGAAAGGGAGAACGAGCTCGAGATCATATACTCTAACATTTGGAGAGTGGAAAGAAGGAAATCAAGTTACCAATTGGTTAACAAACAAAAACAAGGGCCACAGGGAGACAATTTGAATGTCTAACAATTATCCTTCAGATTAATCTATATCTATATAGTAAAACAGGAGTGTCCAGAGTGGCACCTTCCTTTTCTCTGGTATTTTTTCAATTATTGTTTTTCCCTCTTAAAAAAAAACACTAAGGCTGTATTTGGTGGCAATGCATATAAATTTGCACTGATGCAAGACCATAACAGTATAAATGATTTGAGTGTAAATTTTGATCTATTTTTGTTTTAAATTGTAGTTTATTTTATTTAATTGCAGTACAAATGAAGTAAATTAAGCCATAAAATAGAATAAAGTAAAACCCAAAGAAAAATTGAACAAGAATGTGTGCACTCTCATACATTTGTACTAGTGCAAATAAATTTGCACTGCAACCAAACACAGCCTAAACGTTGGGCTCCAACCTAGGTTCTTCATATTCTATTTCTCACTTTTCTCTGGTGATACAAGTCGCACTTTAGTTCACGTGTGTATTGACGCTAAATGTAGCAGACACTCTTCTTCTTCCAATCTTATAAGATTGCAAAACATTGTACAACTTCCATTCATTCTCTATTCATTCCAAGAAGGCATTGTTGTGAAGGGGGGCATTCTCATTTTGGATTAAAGGATCTCAGGTTTAAGTAAGAACTTTTAAGTTGGGTTGTTTTACCTTGATTTAGGTTGTATTTGATATCATTAAGACATTTTGAATTGATAAATACAAATTGGTGAGAGATGTGTGTTGTTACATTACATGCGAGAAGTATTGCAGTTGGAATGATTACACTCTACTTAGGAATGACAATTTTCCCCATTTCCTCTATTCCCATTGGAACCCACGGGGATAGGGAAATTTTCATTCCCATTGGTAGGGACAGTAAGAGCACTCCCCGCCCTGAGGATCCCTGCTAATATATATGTATGCAATGTCTATGTATGTATGTATGTATATATGTATATTAATATTTTAAAATATGTTTGAATATATTTGAATATTTTAAATAGAATTGTTTAATTATTTTATTTTTAATTTTTTAAATAAAATGATTAACATTATAAAAAATCACGAAGAGTAGGGATTCCCATGAGGACAGAAATGGGAATAACCATGTCCTCACTAGCAAGGACGGAGACGGGGATGAAGATTTTCATGGGGACGGGAATGGGGAGTGGTTCCCCATCCCCGCCCTGCCCCCTTGCCAGTCCTAAGTCTACCCTTAGAGTAATAAACATAAACAGTGTCTTACACATGCATATTTAAGATATAATATGAATTCACATTTGTGCCCCACAGCACATCCCAAACATGCATTGAGAACATCTTCCAATAACAATTATATAATATATTTCAAATGCAGGGCCGAGATGTGAAAGCGCCTGAAATGCAAACTCATATAATATATTCATTTTAACGAGTACTAAATAAGAATTGTATGTCAATTTATATTAATCAACCCAAAACTTTTCAGGTACAAATAACAATAACAATGGTACCGCACACAACCTTATTCATGAGTAATTTTTGCCATTTTCCATTTTTCATGTTTCTTCTCATTCTCTTGCACCGGTTTTTTGTACATTCCAGAGCTAATTTGTCATCTGTATTGTATCATTGCAGAAATTTGCCTCGTGTCCAAAGTTGAACAAGATACGTGTAACTTTTGGATCTGGAAACTAAAATATAAAAATGAGTGAAAGTGTATCTTTTCTGGGATTAAACCCCTAACGAAAAATAAAAATTCGAGACAATGAATGGGGATATGGAAAGCCCGTTTGTCAAATAGGAACCAAAGATGGTGCCTAGTGGCATCGGCCGGATGCAATCTTGGTTGTCCGCTGCTAACCACCTCCAACCACACCCAGGGCAAAGTCAAGTATAAATAGGGGTGTCCCTCTACTGGTAAGATCACTAGCTAGCTCATTCCTGCTCTCAAGCTCTTTTGCTCCTAGGTGATCTCGTCTGAGCTCTCTCCTCAGGCCTCGTCCTACCCCCTTAGTGCACTTGACTAACTAGAATGTCGGAGACTCTGCCCCTGAGATAACATCCAGAGCCTCTGACATGCTCTCTCATTCTCAGGTCAGACACATCATCCCTCGGACACGTTAGTCCTCGGCTAAGGAAGCATAGTAACTCTGTTGCTCTCGGCCCATCCTTGGCAGCAACAAAGATGATCAAAACAGGTCATTTTTTACCCATTTTTATAGCTCCATTTAACATTTAATATGGGTAACCAGGTTTACTCCATTTGGACATCCATCTCGTATTAGACACGGTACCGTGTCACTCACAATACCAAAAGTATAAAACATTTAATATAAAATACAAAATAAAATATTTAAACAAATAAATTCAAGTATCTATAATTAATTCACAAAACAATTAAACAAAATAATAATAATATTAACAACAACAACAACAACTAAAATCGCATTCATTAACAACAAATAATTATATGAACAAAGAAGTAATAAATTTAAAATCAGTCCTCTAAAACAGATATAAACTTGGTAAAATTTAGAGAGAAAAGAAGAAGAGAAATAGAGAACAATAACACAAAGGAAGAAGATGAAGAAAATAAGAGGAAGAAGAAGAAGAGTTTGAATATCTCTTCCCTTCTCTAAACCTTTTACTAAACTTCAATCTTAGGTTAATTACAAGTATGACCTTAAATGGGCCAGCTAGGCAGAAACATAAAGAGAACTAACAAAAAAGAAATAATAGGCCCATTAGCCAACAAATAAATAAATAACATACTACAAGAAAATATACTAGGGACCATTCGACCCAGTCTCTCTGCACTCCCCCTCAAGCTGAGCAATAGATGTCAATCATGCCCAACTTGCTTATATAGTATGTTAGTTTCCCTCTTGGAACTCCCTTGGTCAAAATATCAGCCAATTGTTCTTCTAAGGTGATGAATGGCAAGCAAACTTCTCCTGAGGAAACTCTTTCCCGGATAAAATGTTTATCAACCTCAATGTGCTTAGTTCTGTCATGTTGAACAGAATTATGTGCAATATTGATAATTGTTTGGTTGTCACAGTAGAGCGTCATTGGCTTCTCATAGTCAACCCCCAATTATTCTAAAAGTGTTTGCAGCTATAGTAACTCTGACACACCATGTGCCAATGCCCTGTATTCTACTTTAACAGAGGATCTGGCAACTATAGACTGTTTCTTACCCCTCCATGAAACAATGTTCCCTGCCACCAAAGCACAACAACCCGAGGTAGATCTCCTATCATCAATACATCCTGCCCAATCAACATCAGTGAATAGTTCTACTTTCATGTGTCCATGTTTGGCAAATAGAATATCTTTCCCTGGAGTACCTTTCAAGTAA